ATAACTTTTGTTGTAAAACACCAAAAATTACGCAAAAGTAAAAGTCTAAAATGCTATAATTGATGAAACTATGCCAGATGAAAGTGAAAGGAATTGAAAGAGAAGAAGACTTATTCCAACAAAAACGGCAGAAGGAAAGAACAATGCTTCCGCGTTCTGAGCGGTAAATGCTACGAGTAAATTCCACGTGTGTGAACAATTTGAAATAACTACCATAATCTTTTGAACAATTATTACAAATTCCAAAGTTTTCATTAAATTATTATTAATATGCATGGATTTGTTGGAGGAAAGTTGTTAGAAGTCGAACTACTTTTATACATTCCCGAAAGTCATTAAAATCTTATACAAAAATGAAGTCATTCTTAAGGGAATTAGATATTTGGTCATCTAACTTTAGTGGTATACATTTAAAAATGGGGAAAGACATTATGCATGGCGAAAAGAAAGCTGTTTATTTGAGTAATTAAATCAATATATGAAGGAAAGGAAAAATAAAGAGTCTACCGTTTAAGGATACAGATATAAGGGCTAAAAAGTTCCTAGGAATTAAACGCACTGATGTCTGCGATCCTATAAAAGAAACTTAATTTAATAGGTCTCGATCAGTATCTTATATTAAATTATTTACATATCCTACATTTTAATATATTTCAGGCAATATATATTCATATATAACACAATATGTACATACGTGGTTATGCACTTCGAGTAATGTCGTAAGGAAAGTATCATATTTCTAATAAGGAAAATACACTATTGACGATAAGGAAATATAGTATTAATAATTGGGAAAAATGTAATATATAAAATATGGAAATATAGTAGTTATAATGAGGCAAAATATAATATTTAAGAAAACGAAAATATATTCCAGGTGTGTAACCAAAATGACCCTGGGACTTTGGTCCTCACAAGATATAAAAGAAAACAACTAGATACACCCTCACCCATATATGAGCAACGCAAATTTATATATACTTGTAATTGGAAAACATTAGATTTCTATGTAAAATAAAAAAGAAAATAAGTGGAACGTGTTGTATAAGTAAATTATTGAAGTCAAAAGTAGAGGCAAAACACAAAGGAGAAGGAAATATAAGTCTAGGTAACAGGTAAGCCTGTGAATAAATTTAGGCTGGATCACAAACAGCTTGAAGCAATGAAGCCAACTGGTTACTCTACGTAAGTCAATTTTGCCACTTAAGATAAGTAATAATTTTCTTTTCACACTGTATGTATACATATTGCTCTACAAAAAAAAATGTAAGGCTATTGATGATGAACATGGAGTAATTTGGTGCCAATTTTTGTGAGGAAGGCTATCTAGAAAAGTTAGTTATTAGCAAGTGTACGATAAGAGCACAAGCCGTGATTGAACGGATGCACAAACTATAATGGACGAACTGCAGGGAGCATCAGACAAGTAACGAATGAATAGCTGAAATAGGACAGACGATCAGTCTTTTCATCATTTCTTTCTCCTTTTTACCACCTTTTCTAATTTTATATTTAAATGTTTTTTGCTTGCATTGTAAGGTCAGATGAGCTAGCTAAGACCGAATTAGATAACCTAATAAATATTAAATACCTTCTGACCGTTAGAAAACATAAATCAAAATTAAAATGTATTTCAAACAACAAAAACCATTGAACGGGAAAATTGTGAAATAATGTAAAGCGCTATGTAGCTGCACCCGTCAAATGCTTTCAGGTAATAGCGGCTGCCGTTTACCGCGATGGTCAATGACCATCCTTGCAAGGCAAGGAACATTGTTGATTCCTTCACAACAGTTGCGTGCACTCTAAAGTGCTAAATCGTGAAATTCGTGATTTAACTCTTGCATCTCCTATTTTGACGACGGTGTCGACGCTTCGCAAGAGGCTTTCTAGTTGAGACGAATAAAAGAAGAACAAATAATCTGCGCAGTCAAATTGAATGTCTTGAAATAAAAGATTAAGGCAATAAATCCGATTTAAAGCGTTTTGTGAAAATGAAATTGTTGGCTTTATTTGTATAACACAAGACTAGGATTGATCTGAAATCCATTTTGTATAATTATAAAATAAAAATATATAAAATTTAAAGTTCACTATTCAAAGTTTTTTTAATAAATATTTTCATTTTTAATGTAAGCATTTTATAAAATTATTTAAATTTATTTCATGTTATCAAAAATTTTATATAATTTTGTTTTTATTTCGTCTGTGAGCGAACAAACGTGAAAGTTGCTTCTCATTTTCTCTTCATTTTTTCGAAATAAATTTAGAATGACGGAACCCATACATAGTTTACCACCAAATGCCTTTGAATGTACAGATTTCAAGTAAGTTACCAAAAAGGTACACAATCAGTGCCCAGTATTGCCAAACCACCTGAAGGATTAAACTTGCTCTAAATTGTTATAAGTTAGAATATTGAAACATATTATTATTATACACTATTTTTAGAAGTTATAATTAGATTTGATGTGAATTCTTTTGAATTTAATCTGATTAATCTAATATTAATATTAACCAATTTTTGTTGTAAAATTATTATATATTATATCTTGATTTGTAGATGAACTTGGATTTCAGAACGCTGCTTTCTTATTAATGTATTATAACATAGTACCGACGATGATGTTATGTGATACCATAGCTACGTAGACCACCATTTATGCGAACAATAAGTAGGCACAAAACATGTTTATGGATATAAGATTTTGCAATCCCAAATAAAAGCTGTGATGCATTTATTTGAAGAGTCGAACAAGAAGTGACTATAGGTATATAATTACAATAATGTTGGGAACTACAATATTATTTTACAGTTGACTGCAAGAGAAGTTAACAACACTATACAAGCTGACTTCATAAATTAGGGCTTAATTCGTAGCGTCAAAAATAAAATAAAAATTCAGGTAGAAAAAGAAGGTATGGGGAAATTCACCCCAAAAATTACTTTTTGGTTTCTTTAATCGTAAGAAGTAAATCTCGCGATGTATACCTGATTTCTGCTTTACATTTTCTTGGTTTAATTTCTTTTCAGTACGTTTTTGTACATCCTTATCATTAGCTTATTCGATTTCTTCATTATTTTGGACATTTTTGATTATGGACTCTCTAACATGGATCGAAGGGTCCGACATTCAATGTGATCCTTTCGTATAGAAAGACTACGGCCCCGTATAGGTGCTACTTTGATGTAACGTAAAAAGTGTTTGCGATTTGATCCTCTGTGTAATGGAAATTATGTATGTCGAAAAAGTCACAAATGTCTGAGTTTGCAACGGATACACGCACGTGACATGGTAAAGCTAGCTTGTGGCGTAGCAATTTTGGGGATTCAATTTTCATCTAACAAATACTTCCTCGACGGTTATACGCAAAAAATAAACGTGCTAAGACCATTATAAAGACAGATGAATATTCGAAAAATTCTTATCGGGCGTGCAAGTGTACTGCTCCGGGCTGTTTTATATCCTACCCAACCAATGATTTCTTTTCGACCAAAAATGTTGTGGGACATCCCGAAGTGCGGTCTGACGATTTACCCTGTGCTGACTTTAAAAAAAAACTCACTCATTCTTTTTTTTGTTAGATTAAAAAGGGATAAAAAAGGAAATATTTAATAAAAGCAAATTAGCATATTTGTTAATCTTTTTATATATAAATCTTATTTCTTTAAATGTATCTAAAATTTTCAGTTGATTGTTGACGAGTTGTTAAAAGAAGTGCACACTGGGACAAGCAAAAACGTCTGTACATTATTAGTTATTAGTTTTCGAAGGGAACAGATCTGACTCGATTTGAGGAGCTAGTAGTTTTGGTTGAATTAAAAGTAACGTGCCATGTTGCCTATTGCATTGTACCCATGACTATAAAATATTTTGACTATTGTCCACAGCTTTTTGGTTCTCTGCTACCGCACAACAACAATACTATTTTGTAATGTGCATGTCACTTCATAAGAGCCTCTTTTAATTATTTTTATGCCCATCATCGCAGTGTATATCCATACTGTTTAAAGGTTCGCAAGCAAAAGAAAGCTTCAGAGATCGCACAAAGTATACATATTCTATTCACTATCTGTTATATATATTCTCCTTGTCGCAAAAAGGCAACAATCGACATGAATTTCTATTCATATTCATATTTCTATGCCATATTCTGGCACAAATCCGCTACGCCTCCTCATTTATATGATGTGTCATATTTTCCTAATTTGGAATTTTTGAAGACTTAGAAGCAAGCTTCAAAATTCGAATAAAGTATATAAGTTTGATCTGCCCGTTAGTGCATAGTAGCTGTGGTAAACATTCGGCCGTTTGCAAAAATACAGACATCGCAGAATACAGATTAAATAAAAAATTTGATATAAATTTCCTGTGTGTCATTTCCAACTTAGTTTTCTCGAAAATAAGTTTTCAAAAAAAAAAAAATAATTGTAATAATCCTTTATGCTTTGCCATGTGCATTCTATGTTTCCACCATAAGCTTTGATTTATAATCTATTTTATTATGCCACCATTTAAAAATATACTTTTCTTAATATTTGTATCATTGCTTGACAATACATTTTTCTTAATTTTCACATGATTGAAAAATCATAATGATATTTCACTATCGCGAAGCTTCAAACTCTGCACCTGAAAATTTATTCTTTTTTTTACTTCTTAGGTACCAAATTTTCCAAGCATACCAACTTTCTTCTTTACTAATAAAAGGCATTGAACTTGACAAACCAGGATTGCAAATGCAATAAATGTTGCAATTCTCGTTTGCAATTTGCTTCTTTTTCTTTTTTATTTACATCATGAGTTTTATGGCTATTGACGCTTGATATTGATCATTCTGCTCCCAACGTTTTGATTACTATATTTAGAGCACAAAATTTTTTGATGTGAGTGTCTTTCCAAGTCTGTTCTTTACAATTTCTTACAATGTCTGCTGTCCTACTTACTTAATGATGGTGACTCTGGCGCCAGATTTGAATAAGTTATTATTATTATATATTATATAAAATATTTTCGTGGCTTACATTGTTGCTTTAGAACAAATTTTTTATTTTTATTTGTATTCTGCTGTTCTTATTTGTATACGTTAATTAAATCGAACCTGTTTCTTAAGTATTTTTTATAAAGCTGATGCTTTCAATAAATGAAGAGTGTTTCGATAGTCTTTCGACGAAACAACATTAAACGATATTGAAACCATATTTTTAGGTGTGCTTCAAGGTATCTTTAACGATATTGACTGCATTTTCAGCCTGACCATTAGTAGCTGGATTGCCAACAAGGATAGTGATATCTATGATTTCATTAGTCTCCGCAAAACATTTAAGGTCCTTGGGAAAGAATATTGTGTGTTTATTTGGGTTAAATATTTGGGAAGACCACAAATGTTGAAAGTTTCCCTTAATCATAACAGTGGTTTTATTTTGTACTATTAGATATAAACACAACTCTGTAAAATGCTGTTAATCTTTGAAGTATGCTTTGGCAAACTTTTGTTAACGTGGAGAGTTGCTAAGTAACTGCGGTAGCGATCAATGCGTTTATTAAAAGCACAAACTCTGACGGCGATTTCTCCAGTTATTAATGTTCTTCGGTGTTTGTAAGCATTTATAAGCGGTGATTTAGCAGTGTACTAATAACAAGCCTAAATGCCTTATCGTAAAAATCGTTGCTATATTGCAAATACTGTTAGGAATACTAATAAAATAGAACGAATAATTGATTCAAGTGTAATATATTTAAGCAGAACTTTACGTATTTTTCTGAGCGTTTGAGAAAGGAAAATTTGCAAAAGAACATATTATCCAGCATTTTCTCGAATAAGATGTGTTACAGACAGCTGAATTGCTGAGAAAATTACGATTATTGTTTGGTTGCGTCAAATGTACAACAATATACAAAACTAACAACAGATATAAAAACATAAATAAATGCGATCTGAAAACTGAAAAAAAAATGTTTTTATGCTTTTAAATAATTTTAATCAAAAATAATTTATATTCACCAAATCAACTTGTTCACCGTTACGAAAAGAAGCTATTACGCGTTATGTGTGTTAAAACCTCATCGTTAGTGTTCCATGTTCATATGAATGCTATTACGTATACAAATACACATATTCTTGATCTCAGGCGTCATCAAAATATGGAGTATGACTGATGCGATGAAAGGAGAAATAAGCGCAACGAAAATTCTAGAAAAAGATATATGAAACGAAAGTAATCAGATGAAATTAGAAATGATTGCATCATAAGAATGCAATTAACAAAAAATTATGAACGGAAGAAATAAAAATATTTTCATATTATTGTGATTGATTTCAATATGTAAAAAATTTCAGTATGCTAACACACTAATGTAAAAATGAAAAAAATCTTCAACAGATTACACGAAGTTAGATTGAACACTTATGTCTGAGAATTATTTTTTAATATACATAAAATCATACTGTTGCTACAAATTCGGAGAATTATTCCTAATATATTAACACTTAACGTATTATGTGAATTAGCTTGTGTTTAATATCATGCTAATTTGGCTTTATGTCTACTACCCCATAAAAGTATATCAGGACTAACTAAAACTTTGCAAAGTGGTCCGTAAAGAAATTTATTGTAAAACAATCATTAAAAACGAATAAATTAATTATAAAGTTATAAAGTTATAAAAACAACAACAACATTAACGACAAAAAACATAATTTCAATTTTTCTTAGTGATTTTTGTCACAAATTGTTCATGCTGAATTTCTGAGTTTACGAAACATTTAAAGTATACATTAGCCACATTGAATTAGTATTGGAAAATAAGTTAAAACTGAAGTTTAAGTTAAGTAAAGTGAAATAATTCTACAAACGGCGGGTGCTTTTTCTGATTTGATGAACAAACTGTACTTTATATCAAAAATATACGATTTTAAGCAAGCCAAGCTAAACCAAAGGAAAAAATGTAACCGTGCAAAGAATAGCAACTACATATGTACATAAATTCGTGGGATGTATGCCTAATGTGAAAAAAATTAAAACATACTCAAATGCCCAAATGAAAGGAGGAAGAGCGGGAGACATTTAACATTTTATTATTATTTGCGCATTGTTTTTATTTCTTTTTTTTATAGTGTGTACAATGCTATGATTAAGAACTAATCGATGTACACTTCCTAGTAGGTTTTTTTAAGTTTTTTATTATTGTAAAATAGCGTAAACTAAGATATAAAAAAAAGTTGAAAGATGTTCAGTGAGTAGAGGAAGAGACAGCTTCGTGAAGATAGAGTAAGTAAGTGAGTGTGTGCGTGTATGTGGGTGTAATCACAGACGATGAGATTAACGGACAAGGGAACAATACCGAAGGACCGTACGACTATTAAGTGACGTCATGCCATTATTGATCCCGATAGGTTTACATTATTTATAATTTATTTTTGTAAATGTAGCTGAGCTAGCTAGGCCTTACAGCTCTATCTCTATTACTACTATTACGGTTTATTAATTTTATTTGCCTACACATTTATCTTTGAAATATTTTATCCGATTTCCATATCGCACGTTATTCTACACGGTTGTTATTACATTATTTATATTCCAGAATTAAACAATTAATTAAATTAGTAAACTCTTAAAAACTAGTCATTAGTATTACCGTATGCAATTGGTACTGTTTTAATTCTTTTGATAAATTTTAATCCTATAGAAAATATATGGGCTGATCTAAAAGGTCGAATAATTTCATGCGAAAAGTTGGTTTATCTCAACATTAACAAAATCCGCTATCCCCATCCGACATGGGTACAGTTTTGAATAGATAGGTTTGTCGGGAACCATTCGGATGCGAGCGACGATACTGGTACTATAGGGCACACACACAGGATTAGCAAATTGCTAACTCTAGTTTTTATCACCTTCTGAAAATTTATCTTTACAGCCGCGTGAATATTCATTTAGTCAATTTCAAGAAAGTTAAGTTCCGTACAGTCAAAAAAATTAATTTTTCATACCAGCACCATGACGGAATCTACTTATTCCCATATCAATCGGAGTATTTAGTCAGTTGAACAGATGAAAACCGAATATTTCATCAAAAGTAGATAAAGATTTTAATACAAAAAACGTTGCGTTTTCCCTAATAAGCGTTTATTCCTTAGTTAATTCTAGTCATGAATAGATTGGGCCATGGAAGTTGTATTCACAGGCGTTATTCCTTTTAATTAGTTTAATGTAGTTTCATCAAGTGGTACGAATCCACTCGATAAAGTGGTACATGGATAAGTTAAAACCCCGTTATCTGCGTATGTAGCTTTTTTTTCGGCTTTCATATTGTATACGCCTTAATTGTATTACGTGACACCACAGATACGTATTGACGTCAACGAAGATGGGGCTTTTATAAACATGTATGTAACATATGCGTAAACATGTTTCATTTGATAATAAAACCAATGTAAAAAGAAAAACAAAACTATACTCCAACTACAGCGGTATGAAAACAAATTGCTATTCATACTTCATCAAGAGAACATTACAAAATACACATGATAAAGAGTGTAAAGCAGAGTGCGGCGAAAAATATTCACTAAGAAAAATTCAGAAACTAAAAAGTCTTACCATTGAACCAATAAAAATGTTGGTACAATACAATAGGGTAGAAATATACAAGTTCTTTTTAATTTAAATGCATAAATTTGCGCTTCTTTCATGATCGTGTTCATGTTAGGTGATATACCTCGGAGCAAAGAAAGTAGGAATATATATAAACACTTATATATGCATATATCAAGGAACTAAAATCAAAAGAAGTGTGAAATATAAATCACTTAAAAACAATGAATAAATGTATAAAATGAAATGGCAAAGAAGAAATATCTTACAAATTTTACATAATTAAAGCTAAAGATTTCATTTAAATTTGACAACTTATGCACATGGTGCATCATTGAATACAAAATAAACCGAATTAATAACAAATGCAAGAACAACAATATTAATTTTAATCAGCAAGAAAAACATAATTACAACAACCTTTACAAAAATAGTTCATCATCACAACAAACAATATTTTGAATACGCGTAACTGATGTCCTGCATGTCTGCAAGTTGCGATTCTAGTAGCACTCTGAGCAGTTCCTAACTTGTAGCATCTGTGAAAATCATTATCAATAAAATGTACGGCGTTTGCAAGCAGTAAAACCTAAGAAGTTTTCGCCAATTTACCCGAGGGCTTACGAAGAGCGCAGACAATTAGATATAAGCTTTTTTAAGTTATTTTATGGTACTACAGTAAATAGGAGCTTGCGGTGGTTGTTATTGAATTTGGAATTGTTCTCAAAAGTCAGTTCGAAAACATTTACGTCTCTTGCTCATATACTTCTCCACTACCACTTTCTATACATTTGAATCACGTTTCCTTTTTTTTAATTATCGAGGGAAAGCTAGACACGTTGCTTCATAGAGTACTTCGCGCTATGGCTATTGCTGTTCCCGTAAATCACTTTTCTCATTATATACCGTTCCCTGTTTAATTCTCAAAAGAACCAAGAGGCAATTATATATAAAAAAGGGTTTTTTTTAAGAAATTCAAGAAGTAAAACCCCTTTATTAATTACACTTAGTGCTTTTTCGCATCACCAAAAATTTAATTTATCAAAGCAATATAGTAAGATCTCCGACGCCTCACCCACTTACCGTTACTACAACACCAAATTAACATCTGCCTCAATCACAGCAACAACATCAATATGAATATATCAAACAAAATCAAAAGCATCACCATCATCCGCATCAGCAGCAACATCGTCATCATCACCGCAACGTACAGAATCAGCAACAATCGTCTTCACCTACATAGTCTTCCGACAACAGTATTACGGGTCTTAATTTAAGCACAAATGCTTCGCTGACTGCAACACAATTCCAGCACATCCACTACCAAACGGCCGCTCGACAGTGATAAAGAGTGAATTTGAATTGTCTACCAACACGGATGATGAGAGTGTTAATGATAGTAGCAATAGTCTAACACCGTGAGACTTGGCTACGGAAGCTTAAGAGATGTTCCAAAAGTCGGGGAAGTTTGTTAAGCATGTTGCAAAGAATTTTAAATGAGATTCAACGCTATCGTAAGAAAAATCAACAACTCAAACAGCTGCTTGAGTTACGAAATGAATGAGATTAGTAAACTTAATCACGATTTGCAAGTTTGTTGACGTCAGCTAGACAGTCGGTAGAGCATGAGACATTTAATATCAGGGTGTGGGTTGAAGCCACACGTTGTCTGTAGTTGTCAGTGTGTTAACAGTCAGTCGGTCCACGTCCCTTTGGACGTACACATTCCATATCGCCAGCGATATCGATGGGTTCAAGCTGTAACGTCCGCGTACAAATACTGAGTAGGGGCTTTGCCGGTCTGCCTTGACCAGAAATGTCGTAACAACGTTATGCCGTTATTTGATATCGCATGATCACAAGAATAGCGGCTTGCCGCTATGCAAAAAAAAGGAGAAAAGGTTTGGAAGTAGATATTTTGATTTTTTTTTTTTTTTTGGACAGCAAAGCGGAAAGTCTTTGTAGAGCAGTGAAAGTGTAAAGTTAAAGTTATTGAAAAGAAGATAAAAGCCTTTTGTTATAAGAAATATTTAAGAAAAAAAAAGAAGAAAAAACAAGAACAGAACTTTTTTAGAATAAATAGAATTCACATAAAAATTTATATATAAAAAGAAATATAAAATAATTGAAATTACATTAAAGTTGAAGTAAAAAGGAACATCTTGGCAACCGACGCTCAACATACATATTTTTTTAATGTGTTATTAAGTTAAGCGATTTTACACAGCATATTAGTGCTTTTACTTACTTTATAGAAAAAATTGTGAGCCGACTTTTTGCAACTTGGTGATAACCTATTAAAAAAATTTGTTTAATCCATCTGAAATATTATTGTTGCTTTTTTTTGATTATTCGATTTTAAATAATCGCATGAAAATTTTATATTGTCTAATGAAAAAATTATGGGTTATTGGCTACTGTGTGCAATGTATAAAACCAATAACGGCACAACATATACGCACACAGAGAAAACAGCAGAAAAGAATTGCAAGCGACAAATGTACGAAAAGAAAAATTTTTTTAAAATTAAATTACAAGTTGATCTACTAATAAGAAATATAATAAACCAAAAAAGAAGACTTTTGTTTTGGCCAAA